CTCGGCGGGGCGACGTCGTCGTCGTCGTCGTCGTCGTCGTCGTCGTCGTCGTTGAAGTCGTCGTCGTCGTCGTCGTCGTCGTCATCTTCGTCGTCGGATATCCTGGCGTTGGCAATAGCCACCTCCTCCTCAGCGACGTCAGCCCACAGCTTATAGGCCCTGCCCAACAAACCCTAGGCCTTGCACAAATTTTCCCCCTAGGGACCCCCCGCAACCGTCGAGAACGCCAGGGAGGGCGAGTGAACGGGGGACTGGGCCCAAACTGCAAACGGGAGGGAGGGGCACCGAGGGCAACTGCGGAGGCTGCCGAAAGGCCAACGCCGAGCAGGAGATGCAGCCTGGCTTGGACAAGACAGCGCGGCGAGAGGCACGACTCCCTGTCGGGGGCGATCGAAGCCGCGCCCTTGGCCGCGCTGGCACTGGCCAGGAACAAGTCAAGCTGCTTGAAGTCCGCCGTGGATCGGCGCGCGTACTCGCCCGGCGCGAGACGGGCGAGCCCGCCCGGGCCCTGCGCGCCCGATCCTAGAACAACCAAGGGCCCCATGTTGAAACCTCTCTAACAGTGCACTCACATCCCAAGACCCCCCCAAACAAAAAAAGAAGAGCAGGCAAGGTCCTCGCAGCCGTGGAACTAGCAGGACGGCAGGAGGATGGGGCAGGATCCAGGAAGCTCGACAACGCCAGCGGCCACGCGCGCAGGCGCCGCTTCATGTCCCGAAGCAGGGGAACGTAGCCCGAGCCCACTCCTCACCGGGATGGCCGCGCCCCCCGAATGTCCTCAACTCGGCCCTCTAGTAGCTGGCGACCACAGCCGTGTCCAGTGGCCCAACTCGATGCAGATGCAGTCTGATGCTTGCCTTGCTTGAAACTCCTACAACAGCGCGGCGCGAGCTTCCGTCTTCTCAATCCCGATCTGACCCGGCCCCCACCCTGTCGCGACGCGCGTCTCGATGATCGGACAAAACTGGTCCTCGGGCAAAGAAGATAATTCGATGGGCGCATCGAGCGCCGCCTCTTGTTTCGACGCATCCGCTGCCAGAAAGCGAATAATGCCCTCTGGCATCGGGGGGCCCCCCAAAGGCGCTCTGTGGGGGCTCGGGGAAACCGCGGAATGCAAGGCTGCGTCGGCCCTGGCCGGGGCATGGCGGACCGCGCGGAAAAGAGGCCCTTGGAGCATAAATCTGGAGCCCGGGATGTCGGTGTCCAGGCAGGGCTGGCTGGCGTCGCCAGGCCTAGGCGAAGCCCCGATGACCCCAACATCAAAAACTTCAGCGCACAGGGGTGGTTCTAGAATAGAACGGGGCGATTCTACTCCGAAGGGCGGTGGCTCTGGAGTAGGACGGGGCGGTTCTAAAGTCGAACGGGGCGGTTCTAACCCAGACATATCCAGCGCAGAAGCAAACAAGCAACTGCGCCACGGCCGCGGGGCGCCCCCAGACGGCGACCAACGCGCGGGCCCCCGGGCCCCCCCCGGAGAGCCGGAAGGGACAAGGGCCACTGGGACACAAACCTCCATGTAAAAAAAAGGTCGGCACTACGCTTCAAACCGTCGAAGATCCGACGTGGCCACGCCATCTCGAAGGCGACGCCCAGCAGGGGCCGCATCGGTGACGGGCGGTGGCGACGAGGACCTGGCGACGGCCGCAGCTCGCTCCCGCAACTCGCTCCGCTCAGAAGACGATTGGCCCTCGGCGTCCGCGGGCCATCGTTCGGCATCGGCCGCTCCCCCTTTCGCCGTCCAACGTCCCGTAGTACCAGGAGTACTGCTCGCCCCCGTCGGAGTCGAAGTGTCCGCCGACGCGCCGCCCGCAAGGCCATGTCCGAGGTCTCCTGTGTGTCTCTTGGCCGCCAACCTGGCCATCTCGCCCCTCTGCTGCTGCTCCAACTGCTTGAACTTCTCCGTGGCATCACCGAACAGATGCTTGACCACATGTCGAGTATCAAACTGCAAAGGATACTCCTTCTTGTCAGCATTAGACAGGTCATGCGCCGATGTGTCGATGGACGCGAAAGAAGCGCTGACCTCCTCCCCCCGAGAATGAACTCGTGAACTCGACCGACAAGCCTGGAAGAACTGATGCAGAATGCTTGGGCGCCACTTGCGAACGCAGCTGCTCCACCAACCTCTAATGAGACTTCTCCGCTTCACGCAACTCATGAGACAAGGACTTGACGCGACCGCGATGGTCCTCGGGCCATACGGACGTCGACTCACAGGCCCCAGCAGCCTTCGACAGCCTGTCCTCGAGAGTATGCATGTCGTGGAACTCCTGTTGACTTGCTGCAATAGAAGGGAAGCCTGGCGATGACTCGCAATCTCCGCCTAATGGAAACAACCTCTCTGTACTTGGCCTCGCCTTCGGTGTCGCCCAGTGCACAACTCCTTAAGCGTCTTAACCTCGCTCTCAAGGGTGATCAGAGCATGGTGTCCACCTGACTGATGCCCGCCGACGCAGTGACTTGGTCCGCCACCACCGCCAGCCATGAACAGAGGACCAGGACGAACAGGAAGCAGCACAGGACCATGCGCGGGGGCAGACCACTGTCCAGGCACGACAAGATTGGCCCAGACCCCGCTCGGAAGACGCGGCGGCCCGTACCCTGGAGCGCCACGGTAAGCCTAGCAGACTTTGCATTGCTGCGAGGACGCTTTGTGCTTCTTGCAGCCGCAGCACAACCAATTACCCTCTTGAGCACGCGGCTGCTGGCCCCCCCCTGAGCATGACGATGCGGATGCCACCAATGCACGTTGCCCCAGTCGCGAAGGCTGGGCTGCAGGCGCCATGGCAGCGAACTGAAACGAGAAATCTTCCCTGCGTTGACCTCGAAAAGGCCCTAAAGTGAACACATACCAGCGTCTGGTACAGCCCAGGGAACAATATAGCGATCTTGAGCCAACATGACTGGAGCCAAAAGGCTTGATGAGCCAAAATGGCTTGAGCCAAAATGGCTTGAGTCAAAATGGCAACGGACAAGGAGGAGGAGGAGGAGGAGGACGAGGAGGAGGAGGAGGAGGAGGAGGAGGAGGAGGAGGAAGCTGGAGGAGGAGGAGGAGGAGAGGAGGAGAGGAGGAGGGGAGGAGGAGGGAGGAGGAGGAGGAAGAGGAGGAGGAGGAGCGAGAACGTGCCACTAGACCAAGCAGCCAGCTGGAGTCCCGACGCGTCCGCGCCGTGCTTTCCAGCGCAAGCGCCAAGAGGAGGAGGAGGAGCGCGAGGAGGGCAGGAGAGCGGCACGGCGGAGGGGGGCCAGGCAGAGTGCGAGGGCCGGAAGCCCCTCCGAGTCCGCGGTGCGCAGGAGGACCGCGCCGCGCGCACGCGCGCACATTCGTCGTCGTCCTCCTCTTCCTCCTCCTCCGCCTCTCCTCCTCCTCCCTTTCTCCTCCTCCCCCTCCTCTCTCCTCCTTCTCCTCCTCCTTCTCCTTCTCCTTTTCTTCTGCCTCCCCTCCTCCTCGTCTCTTCCTCGTCCTCCTCCTTCTCCTTTCCTCCTCCTTCTCCTCCTCCTCCTCCCTCTCCTCCTCCCTCCTTCCTCCTCCTCCCCCTCCCCCTCCTCCTCCTCCTCCTCCCTCTCCTCCTCTTCCTCCTCCTCCTCCTCCTTCCTCCTCCTCCTCCCTCCTCCTCCTCCCTCCTCCCTCCTCCCTCCCCCCTCGCCTCTCCCTCCTCCTCCTCCTCCTCCTCCTCCTCCTCCTCCTCCCCCTCCTCCTCCCCGTAGCCATTTTGGCTCAAGGCTTTGTGTTCCACAGTGGAACAAGTGGATACCGCTAGTCCGCGGCAGTGCCAGAGCGCTTGCGCTCGACGTCTTCTTTTGCCAGTACCGCAGGGGCTTCTGGCGGCCCATCTCGGTACCCTTCAGTCTGTGAGCTCCTGTCGGAGCGTGCATGCCATGCCGTGGACGTGGACTTCAGCGGAGCGTACCCCTCCCTGGCGTGCTAAAGGTGATCAGCAGCGCCGTGATGCTGGTCGCCGTGTCCACAAGCGTCGCCGTGACGGTGAGGTTTCCCCCTACGCCGTCTGCAGCAAGTGCGGGCACTGGGAGTACCTCTTTCATGGTCACACTGCGTGCAGCCGTTGCAGTGGATCATATGTCATGCGCAATAAGACTACGGGTGAGTCGAGTGCGGCGGTCGACTCACAACCTCTCGACTTGTCAGGTCAAGCAAGTGCTGCTGTCGCCCAGTTTCCTGGCTTACGAGACGTGCTTGCGAACCATCTACCGCCTCCACCACCGCCAAACGTCCCGTCCGATGCGCAGCTGGACGCAGCGGTGGCTGGAGAACGGACCGCCTTGGCGAAGGGCGTGGAGGAGGCTGCCAAGGCTGAGCGCCTGGCCTGGCAAAGTCGCTCTGAACGTCAGGAGGCCTTGCCCAAGGCCCGTGAGAAGGTCAAGTTGGCTGAGGCTGCCTTTGCCGAAGCCTCAGCACACCTCGAGGTCGCCCAGTCCGCCCACACCGTCGCCAAGGAGAAGAAGGACAGTTTCGATGAGGCTGCTTTCAAGAAGCAGAAGATGGAGGCTGCTGCAGCTGCTCAGGCCGCTGCGCGGGCCCCGTCCGCTGGTGCAGATGGCCTACCTGGTGGTGAACATGGAGGCGCTCCTGGCGTTCCTGGACCAGGTCCTGCACCCGAAGATGCCCGTGAAGTTCTTGGTAAGCTACACACTTTGGGAGATGATGACCTTCGTAAGCTCGCCGACAGCACCAAGGTCCCCTTCAGCGAATGGTGCAACCTTCGCACTGCCCAGCTCGCTGCTCACAACGTCCTCAGCTCGGTCTCTCCTGATTCCGCGGCGCCCACCTCGTCTACTCCTGGTGAAGCTGACGCTGATGCGGGTGCAGATGCGACGATGGGCAATGCGAGCGGTGAGGGTGGTGGTGAACATAAGGCTGTTCCTGTCGATGACGATGATGATCTTCTTGGCGAGGCTGACCGGCAGGAGCTATCTGAGCTTCGCAAGCGTTCTGCGGAGCAATGTAAGCCTGAGGACCTCGAGAGGTTGGAGACCCTCCT